AATAGGAAAGCAAAGGAGTGTAAGGCGCCCTCCTGCAGGATTCAAGTCCGAGGGCTCTTCTGCAGCAGGTCCTGCTGGAGTTGAGCCTGAGACATACCTGGTGCTGGCATCCTAATGAGACTGGAGAGGTCCTGGGAGGAGCTGCTGTGGGGGGAGTGGGTGAGGAGCGGTCTCTTTAACTCTGGTGCGTGGGCTACCTGGTTCAGGGCGTTTGGTCCATATGAGGTTGAGGACCATCAACTCAGCCTCAGTGACGCGTTCTGTGTACGGTGATGCTGGGGGTTGGTGGGAGTCAGCCAAGGAGGGGAGCAGGGGAACGAGTTTCAGGTCTTGGTTTCAGCCCTCACCGCCTGACTCCCAGACTCTCTCCCCAGCTCCGCGGGCAGCGCCACCACCCACTCTGCCCCCAAACCTTCTCCTGAGCCCCGCAACCATTTACCTCCCTTCCTATTCAATCCTCCGTTGGGAGACAATTTTTCCTTAGGTCTCTCATGCTTCTGCTAAGGAATTGATTGTCCTTTGTTCTGAACAATCTTTTCCAGGATGTCTGCGGATCCAACAACCTAGGAATATATAATGTCTCCTCCGGGAACAGAGCGTGGGCGTGGTCTGGCATGAGAAAGATAACGTGTCTCCCAGGAGCAAGAAGCAGGCTTGCTTCCTGCCTATTATAAAAGACTTGGGTTCCCTTAGCTCAGGGTTTCTCTTCTATAATCACCCACGGGGTGTTCAGATGTCACCTGGCCCATCACCCTGAGGGGACTTGGGACTCAAAGAATCAATGCAAAACACTTACACTCCAGTTTACTGCTAGGGCGGTGAGTTATAAGCTGTCCTTACTACTCTCTGACCTGGGAGTCCTGTGCCTTCTACCGGCATCCAAGAAACTCTGGCAGGCTGACTGGTTAGCTTGCAAGTAGGGTACAGTCTTGGCCCTCTTGCCATTCTTGGCAGCTTCCAACCTTGTCAGTTCTGCCTCTACACATTGCTGGCATCTTCCCACTTCTCTCCATTCTCAGCACCTCGGCCCCAGTCCAGGTTCCCGCCACCTCATGCCTGGAGACTTCATTGTTGTGGGTTCCGGTCTGACTCCCTTGCCCCTTTTGCTCCCTAAAGGGAGCCAGAGGGGTGCTTCTGAAGCCCACAGGGATCTCCGGTTGCCTGCTGCCTCAACTCTTCAATGGCTCCTATCATCTCATGGACTATTCCTTGACCCGTGTGGCCCTTGATGACCTTATCACCTTCTCTGTGCTCCTCCCAGCACCCCTCTCCATGCTCTAGCGACACTGGATTGTTTATTTATTTTTATTTTTTAAAAAAGGTTGTACTTATTTATCTTTAGAGGGGAAGGGAAGGAGAGAGGGAGAGAAACATCAATGTATGGTTGCCTCCTCATGCGTCGCCTGCTGGGAACTGGCCTGCAACCCAGGCTTTTGCCCTGACTGGGAATTGAACCAACAACTCTTTGGTTCACAGGCCCGCGCTCAATCCACTGAGCTACGCCAGCCAGAGCTAGCAACACCGAATTGTTTAAATTGAACTGTCCCTCCCTCTGCTTGGACCATCCTTCACACTCTCTTTTTGGGAGAAGTCCTACCCATCTCTCAAAACTTAGTTCTCTGAGGCCTTTCTGAAGCGCCAGGGACCTCTTAGTGCCACAGTGTTGGAGACACCAAGGGTAGGTGGGCGGGGGAGGTGTGAAGGCAGAGGACAGAGTGGAGGGACTTTGAACGCCGCACCTTCCAGACCCCAGCTCTGGCCCAGGGGAGTCAACCAGTGGATGGACAGGACTGCCCTGGGCAAAGGTCACCACTTGCATTCCAGGGACTCAGATGGCAGGCTGCCATGTACAGTCAGGTATGTCGTGTGCCCTGCACAAGGGAGCCTGGCCAAGGGAGGGAGTGAGGACTGAAATCGCACTGTGTGCAAGGCCCGGGTGGCACCGCCCTTGCCATCTGCTCAGAGGGGCCCTCTCCTCACGGAGCCCTGCACTCACGAGGCCTGCCTGTGCTCCAGACGGTGTGCTTTTAAAGATTTCTCAAAGGCATGACAGCCCCATCCTGCAGCTCTCTGGGGCCACCAGCTGTAACCCAGACGGAGAAGCAGTGGTCAAGGTTCAGGGTTCTCCCAGAATTCCAAGCCTTTGACCCTAATCAATGGCTCCAGCATTGTCTCCAAGATTCTCCTGGCCTCTTGTGACCTCCTGTTGCCTCTTGAGTCCTGAGGAGGTTCTCGGAGCAGAGCTGCCCTCTTTCCCCCGGGACGGTCCCTCTCCAGGACACTCGGAAGCACCTGTTCTTTTCCCAGAAATCAAAGATTCTTGTGGCTTCGATTAACTTTAGTTATAAATCCTAGCTGTAGAAATCATTTCTCTCTTTCTCTCTCTCCTTCTCCCTCAGACACCTAGCTGCCCCCAGCACCCCCCACCCCTCCTCCCTGCACCCCTCCCCCGCCCCCAGCAATCCCTGAGGCAGCAGGAGATGGTAGCCCAGGACCTGACTGCTAGTCTCAGGGTCCTGACCTCTGCCAGGCTAAACATAACGGTTTGACCTCAGTTCCGGTTCACTCCCTGAGCCCTAAGGTTGACCAATTCCCTGGCTACTTTCCCATGAAACCAGACAAAGGGACACGGGGAAAGACCTCAGAACTGTGCTCAAGACCTGAGGGAATGAGTTATCACCTTGACCTCACCTCCAAGCAGTAAGTTCCCAGCACGACCTGGACCTGAACCCCTAAACAACGGTGTCTTGTGATTTTGCCCTATACAATCTGTACCCTGTGTGCCATCGGGGAGTTCAGCCTTTGAGTGTTAGCTTCCCGACTCCTGGGCGGCTCCATTCATAGTAAAACACCCAACATCCCCCGTCTGCCCCTCTCGCAGTGCTCAGAGGTCAGTGTTGGGCTCAGCCAGTGCCGGGCAGACCAACTCTGTTCTGTAACACCTCTGAAACGCCACTGAGATCTGAGAATACAGGTCACAGCCTTATCCCTCTGCTTTGTGACTGGGACCAACCTCTATGAAATGCAAGAAGAATGGATGGGAGTGGGGGCTTAGGCGGGGCCTTGGGTTTGAGCAGCTGGGGCTTCCCTCTGCCTCCAAACACTTTGTCGCCTGTGGCCCTTGGGGTCAAGATTTCTGTTTCCCAGGCCTTGGGTACCCGGGGAGTTGGAAGAACGTGGGGAGGGCAGCGTGTTTCTGTCCACACTGACTGCGGCGGGCCCCGGGCTCCTTCTCCGGTGCTGCAGGTGCTGAATTTGTGGAGTGGGTGTAGGTGCAGTCCCCAACCAGGGAGTGGACGAGACTGCAAGGCCAGTCCCCAGTGTTCCTGCAGGTAAGAAAGGGAAGGAAGAAAGGGAAGGAAGCAGATCCTTCCCTCGGGGAGGGAAGCAGGTAAAGAGAAGTCTCCTGTGGTATTTGGGTTCCTATAGTAACTCGGCTCCCACCCTGCAGTGTCTGTGAGGTCACCCTGCCTCCCCCAGCAGGAGGGTGGGGGAGGGCAGATGTGGGGGCTGCCTGTCCCTTCGGACCCAGCCTCTGGGGATCTGCTGCTGGCGGTGGCGGGCTCAGTGCTGGTGCGTGCGGGTGGGGAGGAGAAGGGCAGGGCCACGCACCTGGCCCTTCACACCTACCTCAGAGCTGCTGGGCCTGGTGGCCTGTCCTGTGCGGTGGGACCAGGCAATTGCCTGCCCCCCTGCAGTAACCTGACAGCTCCCAGAAGCCCCAACCCAAGCCACAGTACCAGAATTTTCTCCTAGAGAATTGCTCTTGTGGGTGAAGCATTGCCCTTCTCATCCCTGGTTTTAACGCATGGGGTGACCGGGGCCACATCCGTGAATGACAGCTGTGCAGTGGGCCGAGTCATCAGAAGAGGGTCCCCAGGGTCTGCTACTGGGGCATAGAAAGGAGGGAATACGTGGTGCGGTATAAAGAAGCAGAAAATTGGATTTGGATCCTGGCTGCACCACTGTTTAACTGAGTGGCTTTGGGCAAATCATTCTACCTCTCTGAGCCTCTGTTTTCTCTCCTACAACTGATCTTATAGGATCACGTGAGATATACTAGGCTACTCTCTGGTCTCAAAATCATCAGCTGGTGGTAGCGGGGGTGGGGGGTGGGGGAAGGGCAGCTGCTGTTTCCTATCTCCATCCTCATTCTTCCCCTGGCTGGACCCCTGGGTTCCCTTCCTTTCCCAGTGTAGATCTACCTCCCCAGCTCTGCTGATCCCCCCTGTGGACCAACCCCTGATTGCTGCCTCTCACCCCGCCCCATCCGGCAGGGCTCCAGATGGTCCTGTGGACAGGAACACATGGGGTCCAGATTGGCCGGTTGCTCTTACTCAAGGGCTGGGGGCTTCCGGGCTCTGCGGAGGGGCCGTTCAGCTCCAGGACATCAGTAAAACTTTCTCATTTACAGATTCTTTCCCGACACAACCCCACTCTTCCTCCCAGTGGGTTTCGGACATCATGTCCACTCTGTCACCCGGGACAGAAATCTGCACATCTTGGGTCCCTCCCTCTCCTTCGCCCCTCTCAGTAGGTCAGTCATTAATTCTGTCACCGTCTCTCATGCCACACATCTCTGTACCTCTAATGACACTGCCTTTGCTTCCAGCTGTCCTCATGACACCAAGAAGCAACTGATGTGCAGGGAAGCCCAAGAGTGTGGGAGAAGAAACCTGTCTGGGTTCAACCTGTCTGCAGGATTGGGAAGGGCTGAGGGGGAGTCACTCCTTCATAGTCGTCATCCTCATCATCATCCAACTTCCTTCAGTCTGGAGTATTATAAATAATTATTTAAGTTCATAGGAAAGAAAAACAATACGAGACACCTTTTAAAGGTCCCTCATGAGAATGGAGTCCTTGGAAGGGACAGATAAAGATCAGTCTTGTGTGTGGGGAAACTGAGGCCTCGAGAGGACCAGGGCCTGGCCCAAGGTGGCCCGGCAGCCTCAGCCCCTGCAATAAAACTCAGGTAGGGTTCCTACCCCAAGTGAGTGACGATGGGTGACGGTTGTCTCTCCCTTGTCCTACAGCTGGTCCAGAACCGGTCCACCTCTACTGTTTCCTGTTCTGGAAGATCTTCTTCTTCAACCAGCGGCTGTCAGGGCTGGTCCAGGAGGCCCAGGGGTTCTGCGGCCAGCAGGCCCACCCACTGCCCAGGCTGGCAGTCTGCCCTGTAGACTGGCTTCCACGGGCTGGGCTGGCACTGATAGAGGTCCCTGTGTGGCTGGTGCTGCGGGTGCCCAGGCTAGTGTGGGCAAGCATGCTGGGCTGTGCCTGGGCCTTGGGCCTGGACCTGAAGAGGCTAGGTACCTGGGAGCAGCTGGGCCTGTCTGTGGCCACCTGGGTGGAGCTTCTTCTGTCCTGTCTGCACAGCCTGATGCTGGCAGCCTTGCTTCTGCTGCTGCTGACCTTGAGGCTGTGCTGGAAGGCCCACCGCTGTAGCCTGGGCTGGCTGCCCAGCAAGGTGGGTAGGCGGGCAGGGTGCAGGCCAAACTGCTGAGGGCAGGCTTGGGGCACTGGGCATGGCCAGGGCTGGGCTGGGGGGCTAGTGGCCAGGCAGTGCAGCCAGGTGAGTTTGTGGTGGCTGCCTGCTCATCCTCCTGCCCCTTCTAGGCTCTGCTTCAGAAGCATGTGACGCTGAAGCCAATGGCACTGCTGAAGCATCTGTACTGGGGGGTGGAGAGCCTGATAGTGCCCACCTCTTGGCACTTGGCCTATCTCATCACTCGGACCACCTGCCTTGCCTCTCACCTGCTGCAGGCTGCCTTTGAGCACACAGCCGAGCTGGCCCAGGCCCAGGCCCAGGCCCAGCAGGCTGAGCCCCAGGGGGCCTCAAGGCCTTTGTGTGAGTCCCCACTCCTTGAGTCCCTGGCTACTAAGGCTGGGCCAGTCCTGCCAGAGCATGGAAACCACGGAGAATAAATGTGCCTCTATCTGCCCGTACTGGTCTGCTCTGGTGTGGTCCGGCCTAGGGTCTCACGCTCTAACCCTCTTTGCTGCTGCGCTGGAGGCAGGGGGTGTGCGCATGTGCAGGGGAGCAGCACGGGTGCCTGGGGCTGCCCCTGGGAAGATGCACATTCACCGAGCATCTAATACAGGGCAGATGGCCATCTCAGACACTTCACATGGATAATTTTGTTTAAATCTCACAGCAACACAGGCATCAGGTTTGATTAGCTCAGTTTCCCAGGTAAGAAAATTGTGCCTCAGAAGGCTGAATAATCTCAGGGTCCCAGAGCAAATCAGGGGAGAAACCAGCAGATTATTTGTTTCTCTGAACCCCTAACTTTCTCTAGGTCCTTCCCTGGTTCTCAGGGTTGTTGGTGCCCAGTGCTGCAGAGGAGATGGGTAGTTAGAGACTCTGGCCTTTGGGGGGTGCCAGGGTTTCATATTTCAGAGATTTAGAAAATTCCTTTGAGAAATAGTTACTCCTGAGCCAGTTCATAGCTAGCCCATCCATTCATTTACACACTTTGCCACTAATTTTCCCATTCATCCCTTTGCCCATCCACCCATCCACCCACTGATCCATCCATCCATCCATCCACCCATCCATCCACCCACTCATTCATCTACCCACCCATCCATCTATCCTTCAGCCTATTTGCCTGTCTGTGTACCCACAAACCCATCCACAGATCCATTTATCCATCCTCCCTTGCAAGAGAGGAACTTCTAGTACCTCAGCACTCACCCCTAGCTGCCCAGTTCTGTGGAGGGATGGCTCAGGTTGCAGGGGTCAGATCTCCCAGACACTGTGAGGGGGAAGGGATGGTTTTCTGAGACGTAGCAGTCAACTTCCACTCACTCCCAAGCCTGAGGGCGCTGTGAGTGTGGGGAGATGTTCCGAACAGCTCTGCCTGCTTTCCCCTTCTCCACTCTGGTGTGCAGGGAATTTAGGGCTGGAATCCCACCCTGCATCCGGTATGGACCTGCCGATGGCCCAAGATATGTGTGTGGTGAATTTCCAGGCCCTTCTTCTGAGTCTGAGGAGCCAGCCGGCCTGGCCCTGGAGGAAGACTTGTAGAGGGCTCCCATCTGGCCAACGGGCAGAACACCTGTTATGGAGAAACCTGCAAAGCCCTGGTGAAGGCGTAGACACCTGCCGGGATCCCGGCACACACACAGGGAAAGCTGAGTGCAGATGTGTGGGGCCTGTGGGGATGAGAAGGAGCAGCATGGGGAGCTGGATGGACCTTGAACTGCCAAGGACCACACAAGGCTGGGGCCTGCAGGGCCTGAGGGCTGGAAGGAGGGAAGGAGGGGGTGAGTGGAGGAGGGCCTCAAGGGGAGAGGAAGGGCGATGGCAAATGGCTGTGCAGGGGGAGAGAGGACAGGAGCCAGGATGAGGCTGGGGGATGGGCTGGAGGCCAGGACCAGGGGGAGGTGCTGGGTAGTGGGGCTCTACTGGTATCTTTTCTTCCTACTAAGTTTTTAAAAAACTACCAAAAAAAGCCCTTGCTGGTGTGGCTCAGTTGGGTGGGGTGTTGCTGGGGGTTTGATTCCCAGTCAGGGCACGTGCCTAGGTTGTGGATTCACTCCCCTGTTGGGGCCCGTACGGCAGGCAACCAGCCGGTGTCTCTCTCTCCCATCAGTGTTTCCCTCTCTCTCCCTTCCTTTCTCTCTAAAATCTGTAAGCATTTTAAAAAGTACCACAAATACAGAGATGTTAATGTAAAAATATTTCCTTCTTCCTGGTTCTGTAGCTAGCCCATCTGCTCATCTGCAGGCAGAGAAATGGTGTCAACTGTGTCCTGCTTCTCTTTCCAGCCACGATTCTTTGCATATATGCAAACCCACGCGTCCGCTCATGTAGTATACCTGTAGGCTGAGTGACGCACTGCCCATATCTGTAGGCAAATTGCTATTTTGCATTTGACAGCGTACCACCTACCCATCTACAAACCAGGCCACATGGACGTTTCATCCTTTGTCATGGCCACAATGAGGCCTTGGTCAGCCTCCAGGTCTCTCTCCCACAGTGAAGCTCTGAAGCACGGAAGGGGGCGGGCCATAGAGGAACTGCCTGGTGGGGAGGGTGGAGGATGGGGGGGCACAGGTTGGGAGGTGGCCCTCGCCCTGGGAGCTCTGCTCTGACCCTGCACATGCTAAGCTCCCACCTCTTGGGCCACATCTCTGGGGGCCCAGGGCTGAGACCTCCCTTGGCTGGAGCAAACTCGGGCAGAAGGGAGCAGGCTGGGGTCAAAGACGTTACAGGCTCAGCCTGACAGAGGGAGGAGGCTGAGCCTGGGCCCTGGACCTCGGGTGTGGAGTGAAGCCAGGACCCAGCTGGGGCTTAGGACCGACCCTGTTGCCCTGAACATGGCCACCTGTCCACTCATCCCCTCGAAGAGTTGGCTCCCAAATTGTTGGCTGCCAGTGGCAATGAGACTGCAACCTGGAAAGGCCTGGCCCCTGCCTTCCACACTGGGCCTGGAGAGGACACTGTAGTGTGGCCATGCCTGGTCTTCCTAGAGGAAACTTCGAAGGCCTGCAGGCATAGTAGAGCTGGGAGCAGATAGGGAGTCATTCCTTTGGGCTAGGGCGGCTGGGAAGGCTTTCTGAAGGAGGGGGCATTGAACTGGGCCTGCAAGAGAGGCGTTCACTGCTGCCAGAGGGTGAGACCCTGGGTGCTGACCCCAGATCTGCCCCGTGCTGTGTGAGCTTTGTTAGGCCCCTACTTCTCTGGCCTTGGCAGCTGTTGTGGATCTGAGCCCAGGGCAGGGCCCCAGGCTGGGTTCTGGGACACAGGCTGGCCCCTGAGTCTGTCCTGGGAACTGTGCAGGCTGGGGAGCTGGGAAAGCACTGGGCAGGAGAGGCCAGTGAGAGGACTCGGCCCCTCCCACCCTGAGCCAGAGGCCGGAGGAGAAGGTCTGGGCTGGGGCACATGCTTGGGCTCCATGGCTCTGCCTTGTCTCTCTTTGTGACCTTAGAGGAAGCTCTGTCCCCTCTGGCCCTCAGTTTCCAGTGTAGGGTGGCCAGGTAATCCCTGGCGGGTCAGCACTGGAGAGAACTCAGTGCCCCGGATGTCCCAGGTAGAGGTGCTTGGAGCCGGAGAGGAGCTGATCTGAGGTGCGGACCTGTGGGATGGGACCCTTCTAGGAGCCGAGATCTGGTTTCATGAAACATACGCCTCTGGTCCGTGGATGTTAGTTTCCCAGGCCTCCCAAGGACCCTGGCATCCTGTGCCTGGGGCCTGGGAGGGAAGGGAGGAGAGTGGGAATCTGCCCTTGGCTACCCGTTCCACACAGCAGGGAGAGCAGAGGCCTTGGGATCAGAAGGCCTCAGGGTTTGAATCCTGCACCTGCAGCCTCCTTGCTGCGTGATCTCGGGCTCATTCCTTAACCCAGTGAGCCTCAGTTTCCCCACCTGTGAACAGGCACAATCACAGCATCTGGGTCCTCGGGAGGCTGTTGCCAGGTTTGGGCAGAGCTGTACCTGCTCCAGGCCTGGTGAGGGAGGTGCTGGGAACCCCAGCTCCCTCTCCTGGGCCTGCCACCTTCCCAGTGGCTATGGAGACCCCATCCTGAGGTCAAGGGTGAAGGTGGTCAGTCTGTTTGTCTCAGGCCTTTGAGTGAGAAGGGGCCCTAGACTGCTGGAGGGTGGCGTGGGGGACCGAGCAGGGTGGGGGGAGCTGGCTGAAGGGCTGGCCAGCAGCTCCACGCAATCTGTCTGCTATGCAGTCCGGGGCCTGGCCTGTATTTATTTATGCTGAGCGTGTATTTATATCAGCCCCTTTCTCATTAATAGGGCAGGAAATGGCTGGAATTGTTACATACCTGGCGGCCCAGGGGTCCTGCTGGGCCAAGACACACAGGGCCCTGGCCACCCTTCGAAGGCTGTTAGGGGCCCCCTCTTAGTCCCAGGCCTAAGACCCTGGCCTCTCACTGACCCCCACTTTTGCAGTGAGCCTCCCTCTACTTTTCTGAGCTCCTGTTCAAGCCCTGAGCCCACAGGCCTGAGAGAGAGGGGCTCCTATTTTAGACCCCTCCCTCGTCCATAGCTTCTGAGCCTAGGAGAGACCGCAGCAGGCAGGGTGGGGGCTGCTGGGGCAGCTCCAGGGCAGCACAGCCCTGACTGGGGGCGGGGCCTCGGTGCCCTGGGTGGGAGGCAGGGCAGGAGTGAAAGCAAGAGGTGGTGAGAGGTCCCTCCTGAAGCCTAGGGCTGGTTTCTGGGGCTCTGGCCCCCACGAAGTCAAGCTCCAGGTAGGATAGGACCTGCAGCCTCCTCCCTGTGGGACCCTCCAGTCCACAGAGGCGGTCCCTGTGTTTATCTGTCAGCAGGCCAGACAGGATGGGAGCTCATCCCTTCCTGGCCATCATGGCGAGACGAGGCCTCCGTGCTCGGGGCTCAGCAGCCCCTCTCCAGCCCTCATGCGGCACTCAGAACCAAGCCAGCATCTCTCTCCAGGCCCCAGCTCTTGGGCACAGGCCCCAGGTGGGGCTGCCAGAGCAGAGAGGCGCGGCCCCCTCCCCAGAGCACTCGCCTGACATAACCTATTATTGCTTCTCGCCTCAGCCGGCTCCCCCCCGCCAGCTTCCCCGCCCAGACCAGACTGTGCCGGCCCTGCTGTCCCTCTGCGGGGAGGCTGTGCCAAGACAAGGTTAGAAGGAAGGGGGCTGCAGGGAGTCCAGACACACTAGGGGGTAACTTTGCCTCTTCACCTCTGCCCTCCGTCGGGGACCAAGGGATGCTATCCACCTGCAGGCCTCTTTTAGGCTGGGCCTCCTGGCATCTGCCTCCTGGTCATGCGAGCCTGACCTCCAACCTCTGCCCACTGCTGCCACCATGCCCTCCTGGCTCGGAGTCCAGAGCTGGGACCACTGTGCAGCCATGGGGACTGAGGCATAGGGGAAGGAGGGCTTTCCCTTCACTCTCCTTCCTGCCTTCTCAGGGATACTGCTAGAGTCTGGTGAGAGGGGATGGGAAGGGGGCAGGGCGTGGTGACATGGAGGAGGGGGCTGCCGGGAGATTTCCAGTTCTTTGGGCTGCAGGCCTCCTGGGTGATGGGAGGGGCTGCTGCCATCCCCGGACTCTGCAGGGCGGATGCCGTGGTCTCTGGGCTTCCCTCGTCTGTTGAACCATGTGGGGCAGATGTGCTCTATGGGACAGGAGGGTCAGGCCCCAGGAGGGCACCTCCTCTGGGTTCCCTTATGAGTACTTTCCCCCAACACCATGCTGGGCCACTGGCCGGCAGAGCCCCCAGACAAAGCCCAGGCCAGCGGCCGGTCCCTAGTTGCTCCTCTAGTCCTGCCTGGCCCGGCCGGGTGGCCTTACTTAGACAGGCTGGCTCTTCTGGGAGCTGCCTGTTTGCGAGGTGGGAACACCACATCCCATCAGGGGTTGTGGGGAACTGACGTGGCAGGTAAGGGAGGCCGTGAGCGGAGTGTCACTTTTACCTCTGCAGCTTGTTAGCCGAGTGCCCGGGTTGGGGGTCAGTGGTCAGCCTGGGTCCTAGCTGGGCTCCTGCCTCTGCACTTCCGAAGTGGCTAGGCATGTCTGGATTAGGGGGATGCTGAGGGGTGGGCCACCAGGGCGAGGCTCCTTCTTCCGGGATCATCTGGGGGGTTGTCCCCCACCCCTCAGACCCTACCCGAGAGGCCAGGGTTATGTCTCCTCCGCTGCCCAGCCAGGGGTGTCAAGGTTGCCTAACTGTGTGGGGCGGAGGGCATCTGTGTGGGGGTGAGCAGAGGCAGGCATCTGTGCCCCTCATAAGTTGCCTGTCATTTAAGGGACCTCAGGCCCTCTGCTCCCCTTGGGGCTCCGCCTGCCCCAGCTGTGTGACCCTAGGCAGGGACCTAGGCTCTGTCCCTGCTCATGCAATGAAGCATAAACCTTTGGACTCTGCAGTTCCCCAGTCGGAGTTGTTTTGAACCCTGAACCATTTTTGGCCCTGGGGCCTGTGGGCTGGGGGTGCGGAGCTGGGAAGGGCGTGAGCAGAGAGGCCCCTTGGCCCGGCCCCTGCGCCCCAGGCCTCCTGAGCCCAGGTGCTGTCGCAGAGCCCTGCGGCCACTCCTGCTCAGACCG